TCTTGGCACCACTGCCCTGATGATTACCCCTCTGGACGCTCTCTGACGCTCTGGGAGGCTCTCCTGCGTGGTCTTGGCACCACTGCCCTGATGATTACCCCTCTGGACGCTCTCTGACGCTCTGGGAGGCTCCTGCTGACGTGTAGGGCATTGCTCCTCACGTGTAACCCTCCGTGTTGCTCCTGCAACATTCTGGGAGGCGTCCGTGCGTGGTTCTAGGCTCATGAGGGAAGTAAGGGGCAAGCTGTCCGTTCCGGGTCGCTCCTGCGACGTGCTTGGACGGTTCCGCATGTTGGGTGTTAGGCTCTTGGAGGGGAGTTCCCCTCACCCCCAACTTGCGGGCACTCATGCCGCGCGGTTCCGCTCCCATTACTCCGCTACAATGACGGGCGTGCTTGGTCATCAAGCCAGACAAAAACGAGGGGCGTTTTTCGGGGTTCGGGGCTATGCCCTGACGGGTTCTAGGGGTATCCCCTAGTGCATGACTTGCTTGCAAGTCGTAAATGCGCCCTTATATACATCGGGGTTCACTACATCATCGGGGCTCTCAAAACTGTTTGTAATTTTTACCTAGCCACTGATAAAACTCTTCGGCGATCAATTTCCACTCTTCGGGGCTAAAGTCTTCGCTCTCTTCTGGCTTGAAATCCTTCAGCACTCCGCCCTGCGTGTATTGCTTCGTTCCCTTCGTCTGGCGGTCTAGTTCCTCAAAGTCTTTCTGGCACAAGCTCCGAATGTCTTGAGGCTTGGCTAAATACTTCAGGGTCTCAAATATCGCACTGTCTCGGGCTGTCCATTCTGCCGACTTCGGTTTGATCTTTCTCACGTCAACAACAGGGATATAATCAGCACGCAAACACCTCTGCCATAGCTCCGACCAACGGGCTTGGGTGATGTATCCCTTACCACTAAAATACTCGGGCTTAACGACAAGGAGGACGTGAAAATGCGGGTGTGCTTCCCCTGCCGACGTGCTCCCGCCTAGCACCTCAAGGGCGCGAACATAACCTAAAACAACGCTATTAAACTCGGGCGACTTGGTCAGCAGGTTAAAAGCCCTGTTCATGGTCTTAATAGCGGTCTTAAGCTCCGTAATGTGCTGGTTCCTCATGGTCAGGGTCAGAAAAACATACCGAACAGGGCGCAAGGCTTCAAGCTGGGTCAGAACACTTCTCACCTCACCAGCAAACTTCCGCTGTTTACGCCATGCACACATGGGGCACCATCTCACATCGCAAAAATTGGCACCCTTTAGCTTCCGCTTCTGCTCCGCTGTCTGGAAGTTCTCATAAACCGAAAAAGCTAAATACGTCCCACACTCCTCGCAACGCTTCGCCTTTTTCTCGTCTCCTGCCTCCGCATAAAACCGCGATAAATTGGTGCTTTCAGCTTGCAAACGGCGCTCCTTAAAGCTCGATAAGTGCTCTTGATTTTCGCGGGGGTCGTGCTGTATAGTATCTCTCAACATCACGAAAAATCCTCCCTTTGTGGAGGGTCTGGGAACAGATAACTTACCGGGTTGTTTTTCATGGTGTTACTCCTGAACCGGGTCTACTGCTCCGCTAAGCAGTAACCCACTGGATTTAGACGATGCGACAGGAGTTTATAATGAGCAACTTTTTAATCGCATCGTCTAAATCCATATCGCGAATTGATGAATCTATAAAATCAATAAAACAGCAGAAAATCAATACATTTTCCCTTTTTGATAAATTCTAAATGTTCGTTAAGTATCAAGTTAAGTTAAGTGGGGTGTTTTTGGGGGCATTTTTTGCCCTCCAAAAACGAACATTTAACGGGTTCAAATGTTACCCCTCTGGACGCTCTCTGACGCTCTGGGAGGCTCTCCTGCGTGGTCTTGGCACCACTGCCCTGATGATTACCCCTCTGGACGCTCTCTGACGCTCTGGGAGGCTCCTGCTGACGTGTAGGGCATTGCTCCTCACGTGTAACCCTCCGTGTTGCTCCTGCAACATTCTGGGAGGCTCTCCGTGCGGGTTTAGGCTCATGAGGGAAGTAAGGGGCAAGCTGTCCGTTCCGGGTCGCTCCTGCGACGTGCTTGGACGGTTCCGCGTGTTGGGCTTCTTGCTCTTGGAGGGGAGTTCCCCTCACCCCCAACTTGCGGGCACTCATGCCGCGCGGTTCCGCTCCCATTACTCCGCTACAATGACGGGGGTGCTTGGTCATCAAGCCAGACAAAAACGAGGGGCGTTTTTCGGGGTTCGGGGCTATGCCCTGACGGGTTCTAGGGGTATCCCCTAGTGCATGACTTGCGAAGCAAGTCGTAAATGCGCCCTTATATACATCGGGGTTCACTACATCATCGGGGCTCTCAAAACTGTTTGTAATCTTTTCCTGCCCACTGATAAAACTCTTTAGCGATCAACTTCCATTCTTCGGGGCTAAAGTTATCTGCTTGCTCTGGCTTGAAATCATTCAACACTCCGCCATGTGTATACTGCTTCACGCCCTTCATCTGACGATCAAGTTCCTCAAAATCTTTCTGGCACAAGCTCCCTATGTCTTGGGGCTTGGCTAAATACTTCAGGGTCTCAAATATCGCACTGTCTCGGGCTGTCCATTCTGCCGACTTCGGTTTGATCTTTCTCACGTCGACAACAGGAACATAATCAACGCGTAAACATCTCTGCCATAGCTCCGCCCAACGCTCTTGGGTAATGTAACCCTTGCTAAAATACGACGGCTTAACGACAAGGAGGCAATGGTAATGCGGGTGCGCTTCCCCTGCGGGCGTGTTCCCTCCTAACGCTTCAAGGGCGCGAATAT